ATTTTTAATATTTATAAATATTTAAAGACTGATTATTTAAAATATCTAATTTAATTTTAAAAAACAGACCATCACAATAGAAAATTCATAAGATTCCTTCGTGATGTAGAGACGTAGAATCTAATGAAAAACAGAACTTTGAATTTAAATATACCAATGTCTAATTTAGCTATTCCATATTATTCATTTACAGCTATAAAGAAATTTATTTATTGAAATAATTGAAATTTATTTTTTTATTCTCACACTTATAATTAAACTAAAAAGTCTTGCAATTCATTGTTATCTCTTACGAGAGGAAGGTGAAAATGAAACATTAACATTTAATATCTTATTTAAATGGAAAGCGAAACAATTAAATCAAACCACACCTATTTAATAAGTGAAATAACTAAATCAAATTGGAGGAAGTAATTAATTACATCATAGATTTCAAGGTTTTCTTATAATGTACCCATACATTATACTTTTTTATAATTAATTTACATGGATAAATTAAAACTTAACATTAATTTTATTAATTGTCTAATTAAAAGCATCCATACGGCATTTGTGATCAAACTCAAGTTAACTGTTACAATTTTCTATAGAAATTCAATACAAAAATGTGTAATTAATTTATTCTTGGCAAACCCTACACTTCAAAAATAAAACATACAATGGATGGTTTGTTTATTGGAATTTAAGAGAAAAGCCTCAATGATGCAATTATTAATTAAGGCATCTTTAAATTTTGCTTTTTGCAATTAAAGATTTTCCTTTTTTTTTTTTTTTTTTCTAAACCTCCATGAAATTAATCAAAGGTTCAAACTAAAACATTTCCAATTTCAAAACTCAAGTATAATTTTTTTTCCCTTTTAGGCACCAGTAGATACCTAACAATTCATATAAAAAAGTATTGTACAATTCAAATTGTTCAACTTAAATCATTGGATGGAGGTGAGTCTATTAATACTGAGGGCTCACACGCTCATATATTAGTTCCTGTTTTATAATTTAGTGTAATCCAGACCACAAAATAAGGAATTTCAATTCATATATCTCACCATGTTAAAAACAAATGACATGTAAGATTTTTTAGTTTATATATATATATATGAGTAGGAATCTACTTATACATAAATTTTACATTTCATAATTATATAAAATCTTAATTATTTATTTTTTTATTTTTA